GACTCACGGTCCTGCTGCGCAGCGTCTGCAGCCCCAGCTTGTCGGTCAGCTCGCTCACCGCCATGGCGTTGGGCATGTCCTGCTTGTTGGCAAACACCAGCAGGACGGCGTCCCGCAGCTCGTCCTCCTGCAGCTGGGGAGGGAGAGGGGAGGGATGAGCCAAAGTTGAGGGGGGTGGGTGGCTCTGGGTGAGCCATCCGTGACCCCCCCACCCGCCGCTTGGACAGACCCAAAGAGCCAGAGTGGGCTCTCCAGCTCCTCCTCCAGCACCTTGGCTGCCCTCCTGCCCTCATTGTTGCCCAGAGGCTCTTCCAGGTGCCCTTCACTTGGGGGACCCCCACATTGGAGCTCCAGGGCTGAGGGGGGGCACAGAGACCACCATGGGGACAGTGGAAGAGAGTGGGCACGATGCTCCCCAAACAGCAGCAGGGGAGCAGTGGGCACCTCATCCCTTCTCCCCACTCTCGGGCTGTGACACACTCTGCTCTGCCTCCCCAGGGATGCTCTGCTCTGGGGGCAGCCACACGGAGGAATAAACCACCCCCACCTCGTGGGCTGGCCATCAGATGGCATTTCTGGATCCTGCCCCCCCTTCCCGTGTGCCCTGTGCACTCAGCTTGCAAAGCCCTGACTATGTAAAACCCAAAACCACGTTTTCTTGGCCATTTTTCCCCCTTGTGATTGCTCCCAACCCCTGGGGGGTCCAGCCCCCACCTGGCAGAGGCGTCGCTATGGGGTCCCCAAGCCCATCTCCAGGCACCCCATCGTGGGCAGAGCAGAGCCAGGTCTCACCTCACACCCACCTGGGTGCTCCTGTGGGGCCGGGAGAGCAGGAGGAGGGGGCTCAGAACCCCCCCACCTCCTGCCAGACCGAATATTGCCCCCCCCCATCACTCACCATCTTCTGCAGCTCCTCGGCAGACTCCTGCACCCGCTCTCGGTCATTGCTGTCTACCACGAAGATGAGACCCTGGAACGAAGAAGAGGGGGACATCCCAGGTGGACCTCCTGTACCCCCACCAAGGGGGAGAGCAGCCCCACTGCCCACCCAGATCCCCCCATGGAGCCAGAGCACCCCAGGGACAGAGCTGTCCCCTCGCCTGCTCCTCTGAACCCCTCTGCATTGCTCCCCTCCGATGGGATGATGGGGCAAACACCCACACGTCCTCCCAGTGCTCCCAGTGCCACCTCTCTGGAGACTGGGACACGCTCTCTGCCACCACTCGCACACCCAGTTCTGAGGCCACAAGCCCCAGGGGAGCCCGGGCCAGCCTCACCGCGGCCGATGAGAGTTCATCCCCTCCCTGACGCCACGTACCTGTGTGTTTTGGAAGTAGTGTCTCCAGAGGGGTCGGATTTTGTCCTGGCCGCCCACGTCCCAGACGGTGAAGCAGATGTTCTTGTACTCCACCGTCTCCACGTTGAACCCTGTTGGGGAGTTGGGGGGGGAAGCAGGAAGGGGATGGGGAGGGGGTGACACTGCTGAGGAGAGCCCGGCTCCATCTCCACCCCATGAGGGATTCACACATGTGGATGGGATCCCCCTGTGCCATCTCCTCTCCAGCCTGTCCTCCTAAGAGAGGTGCTCCTGTCCCTACGGCATCACCGTGGACTCACCCCAGCACGTCCCCGTCCCTCCCGCACCGGGGACCCCAGCCCCCCCAGGGGTCCCAGCAGGGCTGAGCAGAGGGGCATGACCTCCTCTCCCACCCGCTCTCACTGCTCTGCCCAACGCAGCCCAAGGTCTGGTGGCCCCAAGCCACAAGGGCACGTGCCTGGTGCTTGCTCAGGTTCCTCCCCTCCAGGACCTTCTCCCCAGAGCTGCTCTCCAGCAGGTACCCCAGGGCCTGGGGCTTGGCATTCCCCTGGTTGAACTCCATGAGGTTCCTCTGCCCATTTCTCCAGCTTGGCCCGGATCCCCCGGGACGGCAGCACGACCCTTGGCTGTACAACCACTCCTCTAGCTCGGGGCCACCCACAAGCTTGTGGAGGGTGCTCTCTACCCACCACCTTGGTCACTAATGAAGATGTTCATCAGCGCTGGCCAGCGGGTGACCTCCCTGGGGCTCAGCCCATTCCCAATCCACCTCCACCAGCCCGTGGGAGATGGTGCTGAGCCCCCCACTGAAGGCTCCGCAGGAGAGCAGATCACCCCGGGACAGGGGGGGGTGGTGGGGGGCCCATGCCCGTGCTGGGGACCACCAGAGGTATTTTGGGGTGCGAGCCAGGCTCCCCACTGGGCTGAGCCCGGTGCCCAGACAGGCAGGGGGGAACGGGGGGTAACGGCAGGTTGGATGGAGCACCGGGGTGTCACGTGGCACGTCTTGCCCCACGTGGACCCCAGCTGATCGGGGTACACCAGGGGTGACCCACGGGAAAGCAGTACCCAGGTGGGCAGCACGGCCTGCGGGATCGGGCTGGGGGGTCCCTGCCCGGTGCCGGGTGTCACGGGGAGGGTGGGGGGCTCTGTCTGGTACCCAGTGCTCAATGGGGTCCCTGCCCGGTACCGGGTGCTTGGTGGGGACCCTGCCCAGTACTGGGTGGTCAATGGGGACCCTGCCTGGTACCCAGTGCCAGCTGTCAGAGGCAGGGTGGGGGTCCCTTCCCAGTACCTGGTGTTCAATGGGGGCCCTTCCCAGTACTGGGTGCTCGGTGGGGACCCTGCCCAGTACCGGGTGTCCAATGGGGACCCTGCCCGGTACCCGGTGCTCAATGGGGGCCCTGCCTGGTGCCCCATGTCAGAGGGAGGGTCGGGGAGACCTGCCCGGTACCCAGTGCTCAATGGGTGCCCTGCCTGGTACCCGGTGCCAGCTGTCAGAGGCAGGGTGGGGGTCCCTTCCCGGTACCCGGTGCTCAATGGGGTCCCTGCCCAGTACCGGGTGTTCAATGGGGGCCCTGCCCGGTACCTCATGCTCGATGATGGCCCTGCCTGGTGCCCCCTGTCAGAGGGAGGATGGGGGAGCCCTGCCCGGTACCCGGTGCCGGCTGTCAGAGGCGGGGAGGGGGGGTTCTGCCCGGTACCCGGTGCTCGATATGGGGCCCTGCCGGGGCACTCACCGATGGTGGGGATGGTGGTGACGATCTCACCCAGCTTCAGCTTGTAGAGGATGGTGGTCTTACCGGCGGCGTCGAGCCCCACTGCAAGGAGGAGGCGGTGTCACCGGCGCCGGTTACCGGTACGTGCCCGGGGCCCCCATCCCCCGCCCGGCCCGGCCCCGCTCCGCCGCCCCCGCGCTCACCCATCAGGATCCGCATCTGCTTCTTGCCGAAGATGCGGGAGAAGATGGCGGAGACCGTGAGGCCCATGGCGGCGGCGGCGGCGGCGGCGGGAGGGACGGGACGGG